TCTCTCCCTCGTCCCCCTACTCTCTGTGAAAAGCAATGCAAAAAATATCCTCAGGTGAGGGTTAAAAAAGAAAAAAGAAAAAGAAATGTTACTTGCCACAGCGAATTCATGGTAGACCAAGGATTAAGGTTTCTTATTTCTAAATCAGCCCTCTGCACAAATCACTTTAACATCTGATGTGTTTCTGTCCTTCCGATTATGTTGTAACTTCCCTTAAGCCAGGGAAAGTATCACCAAATGAAATATTCCTTCTCCCCACTAGCTTTCCTAATGTGCTGACTGGATGTGGCCCAAATTTAACAAGACAAGTTCTGCCTGTTCAGAGGGGCATTTTACAGCTAGAGAATTGGAGATACAGACAATGTGTAAGTGACTTTCGTGGTAAATTCCAGACTGGTAGATGCCTGCTGTATAGTCTTTCTGTAAGGTTTGTGTCTGGTAGATATTCGTTGGATGGTACTGTAACAATAAATGGCCCAAACAGAGGGTAAGACATTGTAGAAGAGCCTGACCAGAACTTGACGGGAGACTTGAGAAAGATACAGGGTGAGAAATGAGCCTGGCTGGTGTGGCTCAGTGGTTGAGCGTCAACTCATGAACCAAGAGGTCCCTGGGTTTGATTCCCTGTCAGGGCACATGCCCGGGTTGCAGGCTTGATCCCCAGTAGGGGGCGTGCAGGAGGCAGCCAATTGATGATGTTTCTCTCTCATCCATGTTTCTCTCTCTCTATCCCTCTATTAAAATTCAATTAAAAAAAATTTTTTTTCCATAAAGAAACGACCAATTCTATGGCTGAAGCAAAGATAGTAATAAAACAGTTTGGGAATTAGAAAACATCAGTAGTTCTGTCCTGTGACTACCCTTCCTCGCAGGTAAATCAGTCCCGTATATTTCACCGTGTTTTAACAGATGAGACTAAACAGCTAAAGGTTTATCATTACTTTAATATTTCTTTTAATATTATTGGAAGTGGCGTTTCTACTCTCGGTGTCACCTCTCCAACATAAAGCTGTCAGGGCCTACTGTGTGACTCACCCCAGAAACACTACCATGAACGTAGTGGGCAAGTTCATTGTCATCTTTCAAAGGAAAAGGATGGGAGACGACAAGCAAATGCAAA